ACAAGCTCAGGTCGCATGAAATCTAGTGACAAAAATAGCTGTAATTTTGTCAGTAAAAAAAAAACATGTAGGTCTTGTCATGTGTTTTCCACTTATGATGCATGAAAATACTATTATGTCACCTGATATAGGCTACTATAGCTGTCGTTTGTCAGTAAAAGCCGTAGGCTTTTGTAGGCTATTCCCGAAAAGGGCCAACAATACTTAAATATAAAAATAATGTATTTATGAAATATATGAAACAATTAGTATCATTATTGGTTGATTCATATTATGTAGTGTTTGAATTCATACTTATATCTAAATACAGTGAGGGAAAAAAGTATTTGATCCCCTGCTGATTTTGTACGTTTGCCCACTGACAAAGACATGTCTATAATTTTTATGGTAGGTTTATTTGAACAGTGAGAGACAGAATAACAACAAAAAATGTTATAAATTGATTTGCATTTTAATGAGGGAAATAAGTACTTGACCCCTCTGCAAAACATGACTTAGTACATGGTGGCAAAACCCTTGTTGGCAATCACAGAGGTCAGACGTTTCTTGTAGTTGGCCACCAGGTTTGCACACATCTCAGGAGGGATTTTGTCCCACTCCTCTTTGCAGATCTTCTCCAAGTCATTAAGGTTTCGAGGCTGACGTTTGGCAACTCGAACCTTCAGCTCCCTCCACAGATTTTCTATGGGACTAAGGTCTGGAGACTGGCTAGGCCACTCCAGGACCTTTATGTGCTTCTTCTTGAGCCACTCCTTTGTTGCCTTGGCCGTGTGTTTTGGGTCATTGTCATGCTGGAATACCCATCCACAACCCATTTTCAATGCCCTGGCTGTGGGAAGGAGGTTCTCACCCAAGATTTGACAGTACATGGCCCCGTCCATCGTCCCTTTGATGTGGTGAACTTGGCCTGTCCCCTTAGCAGAAAAACACCCCCAAAGCATAATGTTTCCACCTCCATGTTTGATGGTGGGGATGGTGTTCTTGGGGTCATAGGCAGCATTTCTCCTCCTCTAAACACGGCGAGTTGAGTTGATGCCAAAGACCTTGATTTTAGTCTCATCTGACCACAACACTTTCACCCAGTTCTCCTCTGAATCATTCAGATGTTCAATGGCAAATTTCAGACGGGCCTGTATATGTGCTTTCTTGAGCAGGGGGACCTTGCGGGCGCTGCAGGATTTCAGTCCTTCACGGCGTAGTGTGTTACCAATTGTTTTCTTGGTGACTATGGTCCCAGCTGCCTTGAGATCATTGACAAGATCCTCCCGTGTAGTTCTGGGCTGATTCCTCACCATTCTCATGATCATTGCAACTCCACAAGGTGAGATCTTGCATGGAGCCCCAGGCCGAGGGAGATTGAGTTATTTTGTGTTTCTTCCATTTGCGAATAATCGCACCAACTGTTATCACCTTCTCATCAAGCTGCTTGGCGATGGTCTTGTAGCCCATTCCAGCCTTGTGTAGGTCTACAATCTTGTCCCTGACATCCTTGGAGAGCTCTTTGGTCTTGGCCATGGTGGAGAGTTTGGAATCTGATTGATTGATTCTGTGGACAGGTGTCTTTTATACAGGTAACAAGCTGAGATTAGGAGCACTCCCTTTAAGAGTGTGCTCGTAATCTCAGCTCGTTACCTGTATTAAAGACACCTGGGAGCCAGAAAACTTTCTGATTGAGAGGGGGTCTAATACTTATTTCCCTCATTAAAATGCAAATCAATTTATAACATTTTTGACATGCGTTTGTCTGGATTTTTTGGTTGTTATTCTGTCTCTCACTGTTCAAATAAACCTACCATTAAAATGATAGACTGATCATTTCTTTGTCAGTGGGCAAATGTACAAAATCAGCAGGGGATCAATACTTTTTTCCCCTCACTGTATACCACACCTGTCAGGTGGGTGGATTAACTTCCCTCAGGTTTTACAACAGTGTGCAGTCTGTCAACAAACTTTTAAGACACCCGTTTGAGTAGAAGTCAAATATAAAAAAGCAGGTTGTAGAGCACAAATTGATTGTCTGGTTATGTTTTCCGGCTTTTCAAATTGTACTCGTTAGGAAGTCATTTAAGCCTACAGATGTAGAACTTGCTTTCGACTGTGGTGGATACTCAGCTACTGAAGTCTCCACAATTGATGAATCACTTCTCAATGTAAACCGATAGAGCCATCTAGTGATAACTTGCTGCCATTGCAGGCTGCCACCCTTTTAGACAATCGATACGAAGGTTTACTCTGTTCACTAGCTTCAACAGAATCTTCAAATGCAAGCATTGTGCCCCAAACTGTACTCACAACGAAAGATTACACTCTCTGGACACCGAATGAGTCGACCTTAGGAATTCAACTAGTTATGAATGTATAAGAACGCATATTCTGTGTGTGCCACTGTTATTGCTATTGTTATTTATTAAAAATAAGAAACAGAAATAACTTATTTACATAACTATTCAGACCCTTTGCCATGAGACTCGAAATTGAGCTCAGGTGCATCCTGTTTCCATTGATCATCCTTGAGATGTTTCTACAACTTGATTGGAGTCCACCTGTGGTCAAGTCAATTGATTGGACATGATTTGGAAAGGCCACACATGTCTATATAAGGTCCCACAGTTGACAGTGCATGTCAGAGCAAAAACCAAGTCATGAGGTCGAAGGAATTGTCCGTAGAGCGCCAAGACAGGATTGTGTCGAGGCACAGATCTGGGGAAGGGTACCAAAAAATGTCTGCAGCATTGAAGGTCCCCAAGAACACAGTGGCCTCCATCATTCTTAAATGGAAGAAGTTTGGGACCACCAAGACTCTTCCTAGAGCTGGCTGCCCGGCCAAACTGAGCAATCGGGGGAGAAGGGCCTTGGTCAGGGAGGTGACCAAGAACCCGATGGTCACTCTGACAGAGCTCTGGAGTTCCTCAGTGGAGATAGGAGAACCTTCCAGAAGGACAAGCATTTCTGCAGCACTCCACCAATCAGGCCTTTATGGTAGAGTGGCCTGACGGAAGACACTCCTCAATAAAAGGCACATGACAGTCCGCTTGGAGTTTGCCAAAAGGCACCTAAAGACTCTCAGACAATGAGAAACAAGATTATCTGGTCTGATGCAACCAAAATGGAACTCTTTGGCCTGAATGCCAAGTGTATGGTGAAGCATGGTGGTGGCGGCATCATGCTGTGGGGATGTTTTTCAGCGGCAGGGACTGGGAGACTAGTCAGGATCGAGGGAAAGTACAGAGAGATCCTTGATGAAAACCTGCTCCAGAGCACTCAGGACCTCAGACTGGTGCGAAGGTTCACCTTCCAACAGGACAACAACCCTAAGCACACAGCCAAGACAACGCAGGAGTGGCTTCAGGACAAGTCTCTGAATGTCCTTGAGTGGCCCAGCCAGAGCCCGGACTTGAACCCGATCAAACATCTCTGGAGAGACCTGAAAATAGCTGTACAGCGACGCTCCCCATCCAACGTGACAGAGCTTGAGAGGATCTGCAGAGAAGAATGGGAGAAACTCCCCAAATACAGGTGTGCCAAGCTTGTAGCTTCATACACAAGAAGGCTCGAGGCTGTAATCGCTGCCAAAGGTGCTTCAACAAAGTACTGAATAAAGGGTCTGAATACTTATGTAAATGTATATTTCCATTTGTTATTTTTAATAAATGTGCAAACATTTCTAAAAACCTGTTTTTTCTTTGTCATTATGGGGTATTGTGTGTAGATTGATGAGGGAAAAAAACGATTTAATCCATTTTAGAATAAGGCTGTAATGTAACAAAATGTGGAAAACGTGACGGGGTCAGAATACTTTCTGAATGCACTGTAGCAGAGTAAGGCCTTACTAGAGTTTCTACTGAAATTGCACATTGCCTAAATTCAATTCTAAGACTTAGGCTAATTTAAACAATGTTTGGATTATTGATTCTATAGTGACATCTATGCCAATGGATGTATAAGGATTCAATAATTGTTTAAAACGACAATATTCTAGGACTAACATATTTGAATAGTGGTAGACTCCTATTCCAATCAAATGCTAGCAGGATGGTTTGTGTATTCCCAGCGGAAAAAAACGATCCCCAATAGCCACTTTAAAATATTGTTAGTGGTAAAAATGTGTATATGTGAATGTGATCATCGTATAGTTTGTCCCATGCAACAATCATTCATTGTTTTTAACACGAAGTTAAAAAGGTGTTGATTCCTATATTGCTAAATCATAGAATTATTTTGAATATACCATAGTGACGTTTCTCATTACAATCGCATGTAACTAGTTTGATATACATATTTTAAAGAATAACTAATGAAGTCGATACAAAGCATGCCACAGTTTTCAAATGTGCTATTCGTAGCTGCTTCCCACGTTTAACAAGTACCTATGTTTATTCACATTTTCAGACAATAACCTTTTTTTTCTGTTCTAATTTTCTGTTGATTTGTTCAGTTCAGGATGTATTTTACCCGTGAAAATGAATAGGCTGTTTCAGTAGTTGGTTGCAGTTCAGATAGGTTCACCCGTGGGAAAGTCTTGCCGAAGTTGGCAACGAAAACGTTATAGCCTAAGTTAAACTGTATATATGCAGTTAACTAAAAGCTGTCCGTGATGAATAAAATAGGCTTTAATACATTTGTTGACAATACAAAACCATTGTTATGAAGACACGTTCTGATTCTATAGGGCTAAGCATAGGCCTATTTGATATTCAAATGTCTTGCAGTTTTTACGTTTTATAGTTTTGGAAACCTGAGTATTATATATTTAACATGTTCCTTATTTTACTAATATTCTTGCCAAAAACAAAACCACAATAGCCTTGTACTTAGATTATCCATTATCCATATTGTATATGCATGTCACGTGAAAGCAACCGAACAACCACGTTTAGTTGTGACAGTTCTGTAATCAGTCAACCAAAAGATAATGACTTGTTTTGTCTTCATCCTTGGTTTGGTTTCACACGCTGCAATGCACAACGTTGTCGATCTGAGAGGACAGTGGGGAGGTTTTCATGGAGAGAAGTTGCTGTTCGTTCAAACTAAAATGGAGGGCTTGGGAGATAATATCCCCTCTGTCCATCGCAGTTTTTATTAATCTGCTCCCGGCTCTCACCCAAGCCAATCTGCTTCAGGAGTAACGGTATACACAATTTAGGTCAAACCAAAACTCTCTTGGCTCAGAATCTCTTAAACCATATGCAACTCTTTCTACAGCCGCCACAAATCCATCACTCCATTTTGGCTGTCATTTGGGGAGTAGTTGCTTAGGTTGCAAAATCTCTGACAGTCATATATTCCAACAGGGAGTAATGAAATGAATTTCCCAGGCGTCCCGATCCTCTATCTGGATTCTCCACAGATAAACCAATGCATTTCTTCTTTTTTTTTTTTTTTGTTGTTCCTACACACTGCAGTAAAATGCAGTCGAGACTGAAAGATGTTGGTGATGTTTACCAAGGCTACCCAAGAATCCATGGATATCTTGATGTATGTGTTGTAACCAGGGCTGGTCCTGGAGATCCGAGGCATGAACGTGTTTTACCTATCGAGGACTATCAGCAATGGATATGGGCTAATAGTTGGAGCAGTCCACGGTATTATGCCAGAAAACAGACCCAGGCCCTCGCAATTCTGCAAGTCATCTCTCACAAGTCGGTTATATCTTCTTTGACCTCTTCTTTGAACTATTATTTCACCCACTTATAATGCTTTAGTACTTTTTAATTGAAATGAGTTTTGCCCACCCAAGGGTTTCAGAAGAATTAATAAACACAGTATTTGGCCTGAAAACACACAATACCACACTATTAACTGAAAATTACGTTGGTGGTAATATCATGGCAAAATAGTTTTCCTCTTCTCGAAACATGAACTTTCTTCTTGTTCCATACTTGTGTAGAGGAAACAGTAATGAAGCAGCCCGATGTCAGCACTTTATACAGACGTGGGAGAAATAAACTACAGAACTTGTACGAGAGTACACCATTGGCAAGTTTATTACCAAGGAGAACAGACTACGGATAGCTTCTTCCACCAAGGAGAACAGACTATGAATAGCTTCTTCCACCAACCTGTCTGAGAGACAAGTAACACTATGGTTTCAAAATCGTCGTGTCAAAGACAAGAAGCTTGTAAAAGTGAGAGAGGTTGAAACTTTCTCTTGATTTGTTAATCGAGCCCTTTACGAAATGCTGAATTATTATTATTATTATTATTATTATTATTATTATTATTATTATTAATATTATTATGTATGAGTCCCTCATTATTTTCGCAGGTATTAGTCTCACATTATTTTGGTAAATCTTTATATTCATGTGTTGTAATCTCTAACTAACTGACAGATTGAGACACTGTCTATTGTTTATATTAAATCATATATTTCTGAGATGTTTTTGTTGTTATTGTTGTTGAAATTTTAGGCCTTGGTTATGGTTGGGTTATTCAGGCCAAATTTCAAGTATATTGTAATAATATCATATCGCCTAGATTTATTTAGAAGATGGGTCTACATTTGGAGTCGGTTTCCCCAGAAAAATACTAAAAAACATTCTCAATGGAGTATCTCCATTAAAAGTGCCATTTAGTCCAGGAATAGGCTTCATCTGTGTCCGGGAAACCGCCCCTTAAAGTCTATTGACACATTTGTTTGTTTTTTCATGGATGGGTATGGGTCTACTTGAATGCGTGACCACACATTTACAATTACGCAAATTTGTTTTCATAAGGTAACGTTTGGTCAAAGCAAAGAGGGTATGATTGGGTGAATAAAATACAATTGTTCAGACAATCAATGTTTTTTTTTCTTCATATTTCTAAGGCATATAAAGTTCTTAAACATTAATTTGGTACTTTTTGCGATGTGGCTGTGAAGGTCTACGCTGAGACGTGTAGCCTACTGGCACTTAGGCCCACTTATGTCAACATTTTAGTTGTGTGATCAATCAATCTAATCTATAAATCTAAACATGTTCATAATCTTTGTTTATGAAAATGTTATTACATTTTTCTTTCTGACCTTATAATACATTTAGAGACTATGATCTCATCACAGGAATGAATAATAAAATGGCAACTATTCATGGCCTGTTTCGCCATCTACTGGATTCAGCACGCAATTGCTCTACAAGAGGCACTTACTTTTCGAAAAACACAATTGAAATACATTTATATTGCCAATAAAATGATCAGAGTTGATTGAAAATTGTTCTATTCTATATTCAGAAAAATCATAATCGGTTTGGTGACGTTTTCTATGAAAATGTACAAAACCTACAGAAAACAACAAGAGTTCATATAAAACACACGCCTGAGTTTAAGTTTTAGGGTTGTTGGCTATTATCTTACTAGTGATCAACCCACATCAAAAGTTGTATACATTATCTTTTCTAGAAAGGCGATCAGAGGCAATTTATTTGTTTTAACAAGTGAACAATCGCCTTTAGAAAGAAACCACACTAAACATGTAGCCAGTCTCCTTGGACTTGTTTTTGCTCAGTCTGAGTTCTCTGGACTTTGACCTTGAACTATACGGATATTGCATGCTTTCAGTAAGTAAAACGTTGGCTTTTGCAATATGAATATAACATATTTTGGTGCATAGTTTTCTGTGTATCAATGGCTCAAATAATGTCGTTTTAAGGTACTCTTAAGTTTACTAGACTCGTAAAAGATGAGAAGCCAGGCTGTCGCCTTGCTTTCCGGAGACGGAGGGTTTAGAATTCTCGTTTTCTCCCGTCCGAGGAACCAGTCTAGATTTGCTGGGGAAACTAAAGGAGAACGTAAAATGACTAATCGAGATATGTCAAGGGCCAGTATGAAAAAAAAGTGTTGAGAGAAGGCTATGCTAATATCGATATTATAGAAATCAGGAACCTAGTAATTTATGTTGTGAAATGGATTTAAAAAACATAGCAACTGGATTAGACTACATATATAATATATTTATAACCAGGGTTTGCTAATAAAACATATCAAAAGGGGACATTTCTTTACTATATATGTCAAGAGATAGTACTATTTAAAAGTGTGAAGGAAAAAATACGTTGGTGTAATTGAATAAAAAATTAACCATAGCCATAGGCCCAAAAGTATTTTTAAGATGGCGCAAAATGTAGGATGAATAGAAGTAGGCCTATCATATCTATTTTCTTCCAATATAGTTATTCGTTTGTTATCATATTGTGGTCTTATTGAGAAGCAATTAATTTAAAGGTATGCAAGACTACCGTGTTGTTTGACCATTGCAGGTTTATGTTTCTATATACTTAATCCAATAATGCATTAATTTATATACGGCTTATAAAATAGTGACAGTAGTGGGGAATCACAATTTCTCGAATCCGAAAACTATGTTCAGTTGTTTGAGGTATATGTAGGCCTATATCCATGATTTGTGAATAGAGGAAGAATACGATTTAGGATTTATGTAATACTCAACGTTTGTCAGTAGGATTGGCTAGTATTGTTGCATTGACATTGTATGAGCAATAATACAGCATAGGCTTTATGGAGGTGGTTGTTGGACTTGTAGCAACCATAACCTTATGCCAATGACTTGTGAGCCGTTTAGTAAGTGTTAGGAATAGTTTTCACAGCAAACCATCATCCATGTTAATGTTGGTTCTTTTATCGAAATGTTTGTTTTTACACTGCTGCCTTATACTTTTAGCAAAATCTTAGTCACTTGGCATATGATAGACCTAAGTAAACCTAGCTATATTCTCTCTTAACATATTTTGTGTAAATGACATTGTTTTGCACTGAACACTGAACATACACTGAACATACACAAAAAAACAAAACAAAAATGTATGCACACATGACTGTAAGTCGCTTTGGATAAAAGCGTCTGCTAAATGGCATATTATTATATTATTATTATTATTATAAACATATATTTTGTTTCAATTATAACAATAATTGGTAGGCCATAGCTAACTAGCAGCAATGCCTTATAATAATAGGAATAATCTCTTGGCATTGAAAACGATCTCTTCGATTTCAATTTATCCATCTAACCAACACCTTTCAGTTTGAAAAATGAAATTTCATTTACATTAATTTGTATTTTTCTCTTAACATCACATTACCTTATGGAATATATTTCCTTGCAGTATTAAGGCCAAGTGTGGGACTGAACAACATGTTTTGCATATCACGTGACACTGCGTTAACAAATCAACAATTCCTTTCCCTTTATTATTTAGGAGTCGCTAAAAGGGTTGTAAGAAGCGTTTGAGAGAGCTCCATGAAAATGTGTGAGCGAAATCTTCTGAATTCTGGCTATGTTGGTTCTCTGAATTGTCCTACCCCGGAGTCGTTGTATTTTTCCAACTTGCGGAGCAATGGAGCTCATCTCTCCGGGCTGCATCAGATTTCCTACAACAGGCGAGAGGTGTGCTCGCTCCCGTGGACTTCCCCAAGTTCGTGCACATCACCGCCTCAGAGCCGCGCCTTCAGTGGCTACTCTCCGCGGTTTCTACCCAATTCAGTGCCTGTAAATACTAATCCCAACGACCACAACAAGGGACCACTTGACGAGTCCAGTAAATACTACTTTCAGGATGTAAACCACAACCCAGAACAACCTGCTAGACACGCGCAGGCCTTTTCTGGTGAACATGGACTTATCAGTTCCGACAGCTCGAAATATGAATTTTCGAACTTGGACAGCCGGTCACGTAATTCCGGTGTACAACACGAACTGAATTACGCCAACCAGGCAATTGCCGCCGGCATCAAGCAGTCGGCCAATTCAATTGCCCGAATTCAACCATCTTCAAGTAATGAATGTGCCAGAGCGTCTTTTTCTGATGGTAAGCATCTAATGGTTTTTGTTATTTTTTAATTAAACTGTTCTGTATGTCTAGACTATGTATTTCATAATTTAACAACTTCACCTCCAAATCATAGTTCTTGTTATATTTGATGTTAACCCAATGATAATTGGAGGCCATGCCTGCTTCTGGATTCTTCAGCATGTCATGTTTTTTTTTTTTACCAAGAGATCCACAAGTTGCTAAGGACCGTTTTTTTTTTTCATTTCTCCAGGTGCACCCTTGTGCTCGTCACACGTGAAACTGAGAAAGAAGAGAAAACCATACACAAAGCCACAGCTTGCTGATCTTGAGAACGAATTCACGATGAACGAATTCATAAACAGGCAAAAACGGAAGGAACTATCTGACAGACTGGACTTGAGTGATCAACAAGTCAAAATATGGTTTCAGAACCGCAGAATGAAGAAGAAGAGGCTGGTGACGCGTGAGCATGCGTTCTCCATGTACTGAGGGCCTTGGGTCTTGAAAGTGAACTCGTATGGATTCTGTTCAGACAAGCGCCACCACTTCAAACCTCAAATCCTATTTATTTACAGAAAGTCACGTATTAAAACTTGTGTTTTTGTAAAGCATGCAATTTAGGTTAGTACGATACATATATAATTATTTTGTTTAATTACCCACTTAGTATTTCTGAGCGTATAACTCAGTGATAAGGTACGCTCTTAGAAAAAAAGGGGTTTATTGTGGTTCTATATAGAAACAAATTATGATATTATTATTTTTTTGCACTCACTAACTGTAGGTCGCTCTGGATAAGAGCGTCTGCTAAATGACTCAAATGTAAATGTGAATGCTTATGGGTTCCATTTATGAAGCAAGCGATATAACTCTTTTTGGTTCCATATGGAACCTTTTTTTCTAAGAGTGTATAACATTGTCAATGTATGATTGTTGACATTTTTAAATATAGGTATGCGATCGTTTATTTTTCTGCATTATCAAAATGAATGTTGTTTATAATTTAATCTCAGAAGGCTACATGTATAAATTATGTAGGCTACGTATTGTATTGACGAAAAAAATGTATATATTATAGGGTTAGAAATGTAAATTGCACATATCTGTGGAGTGGACCAGTCAGGCCTGCCTAAAATCAAACTAGGCCTACAGGAATTGCTCGTCCAAGCTCAAGTTCGTTTATGTCGGTGGAATAATGAACCATGAAAAAGTGTTTGGGATTATTTTTTTTAAAGTGTTTGCATGTCTATCGTATGGCTATCTATTTCAACACAATAAATGTATTTTTGCCTTATTTTTTTTTTAAATGTATGCGTAATCATAGTCTAAAAGGCCTTCCGCAGTTGACGCTGCAATCGAATGTGAGCATTTGGGTAAACTATAACATTCTCTCTACATTAAAGCTATAGCATTCTCTCTACATTAAAGCTATAGCATTATCTCTACATTAAAGCTATAGCATTATCTCTACATTAAAGCTATAGCATTATCTCTACATTAAAGCTATAGCATTATCTCTACATTAAAGCTATAGCATTATCTCTACATTAAAGCTATAGCATTATCTCTACATTAAAGCTATAGCATTATCTCTACATTAAAGCTATAGCATTATCTCTACATTAAAGATATAGCATTATCTCTACATTAAAGCTATAGCATTATCTCTACATTAAAGCTATAGCATTATCTCTACATTAAAGCTATAGCATTATCTCTACATTAAAGTAAAACTGCCTGATGAGTAGGCCTCATTAGAACCGTTTATTGGCACAATGTTAGTATCATGTGTGAAATCGGCATAGCCCTTATCTAGAAAAGTTTAATATTTACATAAATTCATACAATTCCATGACGACTAGTGTGTGTTATGCACACGTGTACATTTGTGTAGACATTTGAGGCTACATGAACTGCTCAAAATGCCACGCTAACACGTGTGGTCCACGCTATTTAATCATATCTGTCAAGCACGTACACGTTGACTAATATTTACTGCATTGTGATGACTATTCCACTTCCTGCTGCGACGATTATACATTTGAATGATCTAGTTGATCAAGTGGCACATAAACACAAATAGGCTATTCCTAAATAGACCTACGGGAATTTACTACTTACTGAATATAGCTCTCACTCCTTAGCCTATATGATCTTTACCGTTTTGTTTGCTAGTAAACATTTAGTACCTTACAAATTGAATTCATTGATTGTTCAATTTAGAAATGGTTATCTGGTTTTGGAGGGACTGGTTTGTAGGATATATTTTCATCTTTGGTATGTGGGGCGGCAGGTTAGCAGCGTTGGGCCAGTAACCGAAAGGTCGCTGGTTCGAATCCCCTAGGTGAAAAATATGTCGATGTGCCCTTGAGCAAGGCACTTAACCCTAATTTCTCCTGTAAATCGCTGTAGATAAGAGCTGTCTGCTAAATGACTGAAATGTATAGGCTATAATTGTTTGAAAAAAGTTATAATTATTACCAAAGTAAGCACACACGCACTTAAAATACTTTTTCGGAATGGTCTAGCTTGAGAATGTTTAATGGTCCGTTATTTACCTCATGACCCTGAAATGATATTTGCTGGTTTACAATCCAATTATCTGAGAGAATCAGGGGAATGGTATTTTTATGAGATCTCTGCTAGAAGACGTCTGCTCATGCTCTACAGATATGCTGGCGCCAAAACAAAGTTATGGTCAAGTCAGTATGTCCTCTTAAAAAATACGTACTCTAACTTTAACCAGATAGTACACTGCATTCTCATCATTCAAATTGTTTTATTTTTTTGTGTGCGTTGTGTGGTATTTGTAAGGAATATGTGTATTTGATGACACATCCATGAGACGGGCCTGAAAACAAGGCCTGAAAACAAGGCCTGAAAACAAGGCCCAACTCTCCCATTTTGTCAACAACAACTGTTTTGCATCTTACTCATCTTGGTATTGCCAACCATTTACATTTACATTTACATTTTTGTCATTTAGCAGACGCTCTTATCCAGAGCGACTTACCAACCTGTGTTCATTGCCAATAGCAATTATTTTGCATACGCTACTATTGGTATTATAGGACAAGATATAGTTGTTTTAGTACATGGGTTGCAATAAAACATATATTTCCCCTCTACTATACATTTACATTTTAGTCATTTAGCAGACGCTCTTATCCAGAGCGACTTACAGTTAGTGATTGCATACATTTTTCATACCCCCTGTTGTAATTTACTTTTAGTTTTTTGGACATGCCTTGTGAGTAATTTGTGCGTAATTACTTTTTAACATTGTAGTAGCCCATGTGTGTTTCACGATGTTCTACTGCAATGTTAATTTAAACAATTATAATATAATGGAGTATTTTTCACATGTATTGTGTGGTTAAGATTGGGGATATTTTATTGTAGTACACTATATAGAAAAATAACACGGGCTAAACGCATTTCGGGATGCTTGTCATTACAAAAAAAGATTTTCATTTGGGATTCGTTTTTTTTTTTCTCCAAATAGCAACGCTCAAACATTTGAGACCCAACTGAGGTTATATACAACTATATGAAACAACAATCTATGTGTGTTAGAGGGTCTGAAACTCACGCAAACACACACACACACACACACACACACACACACACACACACACACACACACACACAAAGAAGTTCTCTAACTTATGTAAGGTATCGGCAAAAAAAGTTCATTTTCTACAAAAAAAAAGAACGTATATGTTGAATGAAAGTGCCTTATCTGAGACATTTATGTAGATTTTCCATCTAAGCCTAATCAGTGGAGAACATAATAGAAAGGGAGGCGTTGGGCCCACAATTATAGGCTTAATATGTTAGGGATTCACTATGGTGAATACTATACTATTTACCTCCCTTTCACCTTTTTTTGTGTTATTTAATAGGCCTATATTTATATCCGTAAAGTGCAAATGAAGTAACTTGAAAATTAAGGTAATACAGGCCTATCGTCTAAAATACCGTTGAAAGTGTAGGATAGGATATAGACTATAGGCTACTATGGGTTGAATATCTCTGATACACAAAGTAATCGCCTCCCACCAAAATGTTTCTCCTCCAACAGCTAAAAGATACACTTAAACTAGAACGGGTCCTTTTGTCTGTGCAATAAAACTATTTGAGTGCAGAGGAGTTCGACGTTATCGGTGATTGCTTGGTGCACGTGGTCTCAGACCACAGATGGTCAAAGCCAGCAGAGATGTGTTGTACTTGGCAGTACAAAGTCGTCCTTCAGCCAATTATGCTGATGACGTTTCTCTCTTTTTATTTTTTTTATTTACATTTAGGATGATCTAATCCGAAGAACAACTCATTGCACAAGGATGAGGAAAATGAAGGCTTCTGGATTTGGAGCAAACAGCCAGGTAGCCTATAATTAATAATCATTTTCTGATTTAATTTCCCATGTATCCCTTTGTTAGACCTGGATACCTTTCTGAAATCGGAAAATAAGGACGCTTGGAAACCATAGGCCTATATATGGCCTGGAAAATCAATAAAAGTAAGAAAAGCCTGTAAATATTTCCTTCCACTATCATAATCCTCCTCTGTAAGGAACTTTAATTAACATATTGTCTATCTTTCTTGTTTTTTGTTCTCTTCGTTGTATTTATTTTCTACCTTTCACTTTTTCTCTGTTTTTGGTAGCCGATGTGGATTATACAAATATAATTTTTGTGGAGATGTTTGGCGCGTTTTGTGCATTTTTTTATTTTTTTATTTTTATTTCACCTTTATTTAACCAGGTAAGCCAGTTGATAACAAGTTCTCATTTACAACTGAGACCTGGCCAAGATAAAGCGTATGTATTGTATTGTTGAGGCGCGAGCGTTGAAAAGGTACATTTGTTTCGTCGATCTGTCCAGATTATTACTCGCATAACTTGTGTGTATAGATTTGGATTCGAAGTAAACTGTGCATGAGGAAACATTTTTGCCCTTTAACTTGAACTCTAAGGGTATGTCAACGACAATGTTGTGGACACACCTTCAAATTAGTGGATTCGGTTATTTCAGCCACACCCGTTGCTGACAGGTGTATAAAATCGAGCACACAGCCATGCAATCTCCATAGACAAACATTGGCAGTAGAATGGCCATACTGAAGAGCTCAGTGACTTTCGACGTGGCACCTTCATAGGATGCCACCTTTCCAACAAGTCAGTTTGTCAAATGTCTGCCCTGCTAGAGCTGCCCCGGTCAACTGTAAGTGCTGTTATTGTGAAGTGGAAATGTCTAGGAGCAACAACAACCCAGCCGCAAAGTGGTAGGACACAGAAGCTCACAGAACGGGACCGCCGAGTGCTGAAGCGCGTAGCGCGTAAAGATCGTCTGTCCTCGGTTGCAACACTCACTACCGAGCTTCGACTGGAGTTGTGTAAAGCTCGCCGCCATTGGACTCTGAAGCAGTGGAAACGCGTTCTCTGGAGTGATGAATCACCTTTCACCATCTGGCAGTCCAACTAATGAATCTGGGTTTGGCGGATGTGAGGAGAACGCTACCTGCCCTATTGCATAGTGCCAACTGTAAAGTTTGGTGGAGGAGGAATAATGGTCTGGGGCTGTTTTCCATCGTTCAGGCTAGGCCCCTTAGTTTAAGTGAAGAGAAATCTTAACGCTACAGCATACAATGACATTCTAGACGATTCTGTGCAACAGTTTGGGGAACGCCCTTTCCTGTTTCAGCATGACAATGGCCCGGTGCACAAAGCAAGGTCCATACAGAAATGATTTGTCGAGATCTTTGTGGTAGAACTTGACTGGTATGCAGAGCCCTGACCTCAACCCCATCGAACAGCTTTGGGATGAATTGGAACACCGACTGCGATCCAGACCTAATCGCCCAACATCAGTGCCCGACCTCACTAATGCTCTTGTGGCTGAATGGAAGCAAGTCCCCACAGCAATGTTCCAACATCTAGTGGAAAGCCTTCCCAGAAGAGTGGAGGCTGTAACAGCAGCAAAGGGGGACCAACTCCATATTAATGCCCATAATTTTGGAATGAGATGTTCGACGAGCAAGTGCCCACATCCTGTTGGTCATGTAGTGTACGTGTTAATATATATTAAACTACCATGATGCGTAAATTGCATACTTCGCTAATAGCACGCACATATAGGACACGAAATAAATACCGACAAAGTTGTGCGTTTGCCATTATATAACTCGAATTATGTGAAATATCTCAGGGATTGTTTACTAATGTCTTTATCGCGAGGGCGAGCACAGATGTACACAGGAGTCGTTTCTAAACCCAGGCAACCAATGAACTAACTGTCGTGTGCGCTCGCATGAGTTGCTCTAGTTATTAATGACTGATATTGGTATATAGTAATTCTTTCACCGGATCACATTACAAAATTACCTCAAGAATCAATCAAGATGAATTGCACGTCAGCCTACGTTTCCGATTTTTTCCCCCCTCGCGGATCCTCTCCACACGCCTATGGTGCAATAGATGGACAAAGTTTAACGCACTCGAGCTACAAATTCCTTTCGCTATCGCTAAAGAGAGAAGAGGAGAGATGACGGAGTACGATGAGCGTAACAACTGTGCGTCAAATATGTATTTACCAAGTTGTACATATTACGTTTCATCGCCTGATTTTTCATCATTCTCCTCGTTTTTACCCCAGACTATTTCGTGTCAAAATAATTGGCCTTATTCTTCCAACATAGCTCAAGTCCGACCTGTTCGAGTAGTGGCATTCAGGGACTTTAGACTGGATCACCCAAGCAAATGGCATTACAGGGGCAATTACGCTTCTTACTACTCAACCGACGAGATAATTCACGGAGACTTAATCCAGTCATCGAACAGGGCGGAAATTAAATTCAAAAATGATTCCTTGTACGGCCATCACGGCGGTACGAACTCGCCATGCAATTTATTCACCAATGTCGGTCGAAATGGGGTTCTTCCACAAGGGTTCGATCAGTTCTTCGAGACTGTTAACTCTGAAAAGCCCAACTCTGGGCCTGAACACACAAAACAGAAGACAGACTCCAGTCTCCCCGGAGATGCTGCATGCAATAAACAGACTGCAGACCCAACTGAGGACATAGACGAACATGATTCTTCGATATCAAACTGCCCCGGGGACAAGAACAACAGCCCAAGTAGGTACAAGCATTAAATAGTGTTATAGGAAGTACACTACTTAGTCGGTCCGATTTTATGTGTCCCTTTATAAGCATGCAACGGTTTATGTACCCCAATAAGATTTACGTTACTGTTGTAAAAATATTTACGATGGGAAAGCAGTTTAGGTGAGCCACGCTGCAATACTTCTGATATGTTTTTCTGAATTAAAGTTGTCTGATTCTCTTGCACTGTGTAAATTACAATGTAGCCATGTTTATCAGACTTATTTGTTTATGATAGTGAATTTACAAAGTAACAAAGCAATGATATAACCAGGGGAGGCAGGATATGCTAATATTCGAGATACATTATACATGAATGTGAAGGGATTTTCTTTAGCTGCATAATAATGTTTTACCTATACCGTCGAAACGAACCGTGTAGGACAGACATGGACTCATAGAAAATATTCGTGTGAGTTCCTACGAGCGCAGTCGAAAACTCTGCTTGTGTGTTTGCCTGTGTGTGTTAGCGGGTGCGCGCGGGAAGATAATTTTGTTTACTCAGCTAACTTGTTAATTATATGTTCTGTACTGCCACTTGCATTGTACCAACTTTGATCTGAACTGCATTGTGCTACATATGTCTGGTAAAACAAGTGTTTGTCCCGTTTAGGTTCTTCCAAGTCCAGAAAAAAGAGATGCCCCTACTCCAAATACCAGATCCGAGAACTTGAACGAGAATTCTTTTTCAATGTGTACATAAACAAGGAGAAGCGGCTCCAGTTGACAAGGAAGTTAAACCTGACAGATCGACAGGTGAAGATTTGGTTCCAGAACAGAAGAATGAAAGAGAAAAAGCTCAACCGGGACCGACTTCAGTATTTCACTGGAAATCCCTTATTCTGATATTTTGCATTTAGAGGAGCCATAAGTGCTTCACAACAGATTGAATAAAACTTTTTTTTTGAGGGGGGGGGGGGGGGGGGACGGACACATCTCACAATCTATACAAACAACAGAAGGTGAAACACCGCACAACAAATCTGAACATTGCAAACAGGCTGGATCTATCTATGCAAGGCTTTTTGTATCTGCCACTTAAATACTTACCTCAATGAACACATGAATCCTGTTATTTAAAATAATATTAAATCCAGTGAATAAATCATCCAGGAGACCTCGACATAATGTTCATTTACATATCTTAATGGTAATTCATAGGCTATTTTTTATTTTACCTTTATTTAACTAGGCAAGTCAGTTAAGAACAAATTCTTATTTAAAATGACGGCCTACACCGGCCAAACCCGGACCAATTGTGCGCCGCCCTATGATACAGCCTAGAATCGAACCAGGCGGTCTGTAGTGACGCCTCAAGCATTGAGATGCAGTGCCTTAGACCACTGCGCCACTCGGGAGCCCATAGCCTATATAGGCCTATATCTTACTTTTGTACTTATTTAAGTTTACACGGCATATTCTTTGGTGGATTCACACACATTGCAGTAAGCGACGAGTACTTTGATTACAGTAATCAATGAGTGTAATAAGTAATTTACAATAGTAGAATTGTGTATGCATTTAATAGACGCATGTTATGTATATTGTGGTATCAAATAAAGTACACATGGCAAATGTGGTTATGCGTTACCTCAAATTATTGCAATCACGATCTCCTTTCGGCTTTGATCAGGATCCACATTTGGCATAGGAAAAAAACCATGCATAATTTCATACAATTCAACAAGGTTTTTATAATCTCCTATAGGGATGCTCATACCAAAGCAATCGGATATTGATGTTTTTGTAAAGTACTAATGACACGGAAGCTAGTGGTTATATTAATGGACTATACGGCGAATATCCTGTTGTTAGCCTGTTGTAGTCAAGACGCGTTTCTTATTCGCTTCAACTTCAAAGTTTAGACTAGACCTTTTTATTCCCTTTGTGTTGTCTTACACCAAGGCTGTTTACTAAACCTTGAACCGTCTAGACAGCATAATAAATACTAGCTGTAAATGTGTAAATTGGAGGCTATTGGACTCTGGCCACTCCAAATGCGGCCCTACTCCCAAATAGTCGACAGATGCAGTCCTTTCTTACTTGTCAAGCTATTGAATTATAAATGTAGGAAATCTGAATGTATAGGCTATGACCAAATGCATATATGTTTAGTATATATTTTTTATATTTAACTTGAATTGGCATGCCATTAGAACTCCCGTGCGTAAAATGCCTATGTTTGATTTGGTGGATTTACACAGCGGTGTATTTATTTGTAATGTTGTCAATAGCGGACTAACTAGCAAATATTGTTAATTTCATATACAAACGTTCTTTGCTGCCTTTGAACTTCCAGTATAATGTCAAGGTCGTTACCTCTCACCTTTGAAAAAGTAAAGGCGCCGTTTGGCTGATCTCCTTGACAAACGACGCCTTCTGAATAATATCTGCACTGCAGCAGGATTCCAATATGACTGTGAAGCATTGATTTCTCATGTATGAAAAGCAATCAGATCCAGGGATACAGTTTCTTGTTTGAAGTCGATATACCTGTCTCATACACTAACCAATTGAGATGTTGCATTAAATGTAACGCAATATACATCAAATCATGCGCAACCTTCTGATGTGGCAGCATTACGCACGACATTATAGTCATACAACAATAGTATATTATAGTTTAGCTTTTGTAACAACATTATAGTTTAGCTTTTGTAACAACATGAAAACCCAAAATAATTTTAATAATCAATGGTTTAATTCCAAGTTGTCTTATGGTAGAAATGAAAGACAGAACGGCAGTCAGTGCACCAAAAGTAAAACAGTTAACGAATGTAATCCTTAATAAACCTAAATGTTTATTTTTGTTATATTTATTTCCATCTAACAATTTGAGGCAGGGACATGACTACTTTTAGCGTACCGGTAGTAGGTCTTGGTTATTCTTTTCGCTGAGATATTGTCAGTGCATCTGATCATTCGAATTGTAGCCGTAAGAAATCAGTGATATAAGATATGTTCTGAAATCGATCACAAAACACACATGTCAATCAGTCTGGTGATGGTTGTCATGTTTCATTAGGTTTTTGGTTTAGGGAATAGTTCCGGGGGAAATATTGCGCAGACGTTGCCAGGTGACTCCTCGTTCCCATTCTAACCACACGAGGGCAGACGTGTAGCAAGGTTCCATCCGAGTTTGTTCATGAAAACACACATAAGGGTTGAATTACTACTGTGATCTGGAATATTATAGAAAGGTTGGTAATGTTTTTGTTGGTGGTTTGATGAGAGAATATAATCTACGTTCGGTGATCTCGACTTTTGACGTGGCTTCTTTCTGGTAAACGTTGGGAAATAGCTTCAGTTGTTCTTATCACAATAGCCTAAGCAGTCTGTGTTTAGTTCATACATCCATGCATTGCAATCAAAGGGGCACCATCACTGTTTCTAAGAAGTAGTAGCCTAACGCCACCGTTTTAAAGTGGATTAAACACTAGCTTTAACTATGTGGATATGTATATCATAGGCTGGTGGGAGGAGCTATAGGAGGACGGGCTCATTGTAATGGCTGGAATGGAATCTATGAAATGGTATAAAACATATGGAAACCACATGTTTGACTCCGTTCCATTAAATCCATTCCAGCCATGACAATGAGCCCGTCCTCCTATAGCTCCTCACACCAGCCTCCACTGATTTACAGGAGACTCCAAGTCCAAGCTTAACCCATATTGCATTTGCATGATCTTTGGTAATTTGGTGTTATGGACATGACTTGAAATATTACTGGGTTAAACTTAATTTCAGTTCAAACCCTGAAGTAATGAATTTTTTTTTGATCAACTATGGAATAAGGCGCATGGCCTATCTAGATTCCTAAATTCTCGTGTGCATTACCGATGCATTAGACTAGTTATTTTGATTTGGACGACCATTAGGCCTTGTCTAATAAATATGTTTGGTCCTCTGTAGCTCAGCTGGTAGAGCACGGCGCTTGTAACGCCAAGGTAGTGGGTTCGATCCCCGGGACCACCCATGCACAAAAATGTATGCACGCATGACTGTAAGTCGCTTTGGATAAAAGCGTCTGCTAAATGGCATATTATTATTATGTTGTCTTACTTTCAATCGATATTCTCTGATAGTGTAAAATGATTTTTTAAAAATGTGATCTCTAAGTGTAGAGCCTAAAATGTTGGCTAGAGCATGGGTTTGTTTGATTCCTGAATTAAAACGGAACCCGAAGAGTACCTTCAAAAACATGCATATTTTTTGGCTCACGCATTTTACGAAATTATTTGCTTAATTATGAAATCCCCTATAATCCCCGTCTGAACACCTGGATGATTTCGTTAATGCTGTATTCCGGAAGTTAAAAACAATCAACTGCACGCACACTGATTCTTAACACATTTTCTGAGTTTAATAGTAGCATAGTGTCGGCCAATGCCTGAATTCTTTACGTAATTTACAATTTTCTTGAGGCGTAACACAATCAAGCATATCCTTCTTGTGTTTACTAATCTACGTGCACCAACTAATTGAGGTAGGCCTATTCAACGTGTAATTATATGCTTCTAATAACATTATTAGTCTTATTCAGCAAAATAATCGGGGTGTCTGTTTTTGTATGCTTGTTGATTTGTTAATTCATTAAAATTTCTCTGCAAACCTGGACCTCTTATAGCGATGAGATGCTGAGTTGAGAATAGGCTACTATGGGGGAGCCTACTTTCCCAGTCCGTCACAAACAACGTGCACCGTACCCTGAGCAGGCATTCGAAGGTTACGAAAATGTTTTTAAAATGTAGAACCGGGCAATCGATATCACCTTTCCTTGAAATTATGTTTTTTAGACGATAGTATCCTAAGCCAGACGCGGTTTAATTAAGAATCCAATTACAAAAAAAAGATGTAGGCCTATAATAGCCATATTTGTTTTAAGTTTTTGGTTGAAATTATGTAATTAGTCCACCTCATGTAAATTGATTATTTTCGGTTAGGATTATATCTCCATCACTACACCGTGTGATTAGAAATCGTTATTTTAGTTAATGTCAAAGCATTGGCTTAATAGGTATACAGCATATATGAATGAATAGATTATTCGTGTGACCTTAAATTGTCTTAAAGGTGTTTAAATGTGTCAAAGTAAGGGAATTGGAGCTTGATGTAACTGTAAATTATCTTAAGGTTAAGTCCATGCTCATCCTTTAGCTTTGATTTTTTTTTCATGTCAAGCAAAGAGAACATGCTAAACGCTCAAGATGTCCTTTGTCAGTCTTTGAATCAATTTCAAGTCCGTGTTCTAGGTGTCGCTGTTGACCACGTCTGCTTCCTAGTTATGAGTCAATGCTTCCATGTGATGGGAAAAGAGGCTGCGTCTCAAGGCCATTTTCACATTTCATTGGTGAGCTTGTCATGTGGCAGAGAGACATCCTAAGCAACACCGACATTGTTTTGCTAGAAATGTCAGCCTACAAACGACATCTCTCTCCTTTTAAAACTGATCCAAAATGTCCTTTCCCAACAGCTCTCCTGTTGCTAATACTTTTTTAGTTGATTCGTTGATTGGCGCTTGCAGGACTGACAGCTTTTACTCCAACAGCAACATGTACATGCCGTCCGGTGCAGAAATGGGAACTTACGGAATGCAAACCTGTGGACTCCTGCCGTCTCTCGGTAAACGAGGGGACGTCAACCACCAAAATATGGGCATGAATTTCCACCCTTACATACCTCAAATTGATAACTGGACAGATCCCAGTAGACCTTGCGGAATAGAGCAACCGTCCAACCAAATGCCCAATTGCACATTTTCACAAAACATTAAGGAGGAGAGTCATTGCTGCATGTATTCCGACAAGAGAGCGAAAGTCAACTCGTCCGATGTCCCTGTATATGCTAATATAATCCCCGAATCGTGTTCAGTTGATGGCCCCGAGATCCCTGTCCCCGGGTATTTCAGACTAAGCCAAAGCTACGCGATTGGGAAACACCAGGACTATGGCCACGAGACGACAAGTCCAAACATCACATTGATGCAGCTCAACAGAGTTACTCCAAAACCGCAGTTGTTTTCCTTTGTCGAACTGGAAAAGAAAACGGCCGAGGTACCGCATAACCGGGAGACCAGCAAGACACCCATCCCCGCAGAAATCCCGGATCCAACGTCGAGCGCAAAGCGGGAGAAGAACTCCTCCACTGAATCTTTAGTCTCCAGCCCAGAGTTGACACAAAGAGAATCTAAAGGTGGGTACATTAAAAGGATTAATCGTATGGCGGTATCATAAAACCCAATATAAAACCCAAACAGCCCTTAAGTCGTAATGTTTAATGAGAGCCTTACTCAGTTTGCAGTAAAGGGTTTTTACAAGAAACGGTTCGACCGCGGACCAGACATGCCTGCATCTATTAGTCTTTTATATTTATATTTTCTTAATTTATTTGTTTCTTTGTTGATAGTAATAGAACATTCATTTTTGTTTTGGGGAAAATTTTATTTATTTATTTATTTATGTATATATTAACACCTAGGAGAAATAATGCGTGTGGTGTTCATCCTCAGTGCTGTGATGATACAGAAACAGTCTCTCACAAATGTGTATTGTAGTTGATTTCATCAGTATGCCTTACATGCATGTAAAATATTACTTTGGTCTAAAAACTTAATCGTGTAATTTAGAGCATGTGTTGTTAGTTATGCCTATAATATTTCAACACTTTTGACTAACAACGACTACCAACTAATAATACTCATATAACACGATATCAATAGAATTGAAACATTTTATCATTCTGACCAGAGCTGTGTGACTAGTGAAAACATATTTTAATTCATGGTAAAATCTGAGTGATATTTTCATATTTTGTCATGTTAATACATTTGTTGAGTTGATAACATTTCAGACGGCAAAACTGACCCTCCAGCTAGCAATTGGTTGACTGCAACAAGCGGAAGGAAGAAAAGATGTCCCTACACGAAGCACCAGACGCTTGAATTGGAAAAGGAGTTTTTATTCAACATGTACCTGACTCGAGAGCGCCGTCTGGAGATCAGTAAAGGCGTTAACCTCACGGACAGGCAAGTCAAGATCTGGTTCCAAAACCGCAGGATGAAGCTCAAGAAAATGAGGAGGGAGAACCGAATTCGGGAACTTACCTCAAATCTCACCTTTTCGTGAGCTTGCTTACCAGAAGCTTGTTTTATTGTCTCTTTCCTCTCCCCTCAAAGTGGTGGTGTGGCAGCATCGGACTTTTTTGTTTTTTTCACCGAAACTGGGACTGACTGCTATTTTATTTTCATATTTACACGGTGACGCATTGTGTATTTTGAATATGTTTTATCACAGGGTAAAATATAGTATGTATCCATTATTGGACTGTTTGGTTTGATTGAGTCTGAGGAAAATGTCGAACGAGCGACTTGTTTGGAAGATCATATTTTCGGACATGAAAGCACATTTATCAATAGTGGTTGAAAAGTAAAACATTCTTTCAGAATTAAGCGCAAACCCTTAGCTGAATCGTAATCACATAAACGTTTATGTAGCATAAATGTGGTGAGCAACGTTACTGAGTGTCAATCTTACGCATGTTTGTGGCATGTATCATGCAATAAATTGATGATTGTTAAATGCAATTTCTTATTTCGGTGCTTTGTCTTGCAGTAGACGTATACTTTTTCATCTATACAGATTTTACATTACATTTTTGTCACTTTGCAAATTCTCTTATCAAGAGGACTTACAATTATGCATTCATGTATATCAGATGTATAAATATATTAAGCAAAACAGATAACTATTTCAGAAATGTGTACGAGGCCCTAACGTTCTTTTAGTTCCGCTAGAATGATTAGTGACTGGACCAGTAGCTTCAAATTGTTAACGTGCCTGACATGAAGAAAAGGAATATTCAAAACAAGTCTCATTGCGGTACACGTCATATCTTAAACAAAAATCCCTATTATAGCGTTGGGCTATTGTGCAACATGATTTCGGTTCAGCTGTTCGAGGCCTAATGGGTCTAGGCTATATATTGACCAATTATTTAATTATGACTGTTATTATTAATTAATTGTTAGGCCTATTGTCAATTAGCATTCAGAAACACGCCTGTAATTGAAAATAAACGGTAGCTTGTAAAATCGAGTTGTTTTGTGAATAAGCTATCCAATTGGTTTCCAAGGCCTATATGTTGTGTACATTTTTGTCATTTAGCAGACGCTCTTATCCAGAGCGACTTACAGTGCATACATTTTTTCATACTGGCCCCCGTGGGAATCGAACCCTCAACCCTGGCGTTGCAAGCGCCATGCTCTACCAACTGAGCTACACGGGACCTATATAGGGCACCTATATATATAGCCTACTGCCTTTAAACTCAACTCTGGACCTCGAAGCCAGTTCCACAGCTTAAAAAAAAATATGTCCCCTCTAATCAGGGACTGATTTAGACGTGGGACACCAGGTGTGTGCAATTAACTATCAGGTAGAACAGAAAACCAGCTGGCTCCGGACTTCGTGGGTAAGAGTTGAATACCCCTGGCCTACTACATGTTTAATTCCCTAAACTTTGATGTCAGGCTTGTGCAAGGAGCTCCTTCGAGCGTCCATGGATTGTAGGATACTTATTCAAATACACAAAATACACACTAATACTTCTATTCAAATACACAAAAACAAGACTCATATCCTATTCATGCCCTATAGCTAAACATTGTATTATATTTACACGTATCTGGGAAGGTCCCCACCAACCTACAAAAACAGCCATTGGGGTCCGGATATAGGAACTTCTTAGAAAACGGGTTCATTAGAGTTCCAACATTGGGGTCCGGATATCGGAACTTCTTAGAAAACGGGTTCATTAGAGTTCCAACATTGGGGTCCGGATTTAGGAACTTCTTAGAAAACGGGTTCATTAGAGTTCCAAAAAAGGTTACAGAACCATTTCTTCTAAGAGTGTAGAGGAAGGAATAGGCCTAGAAAAATATATAAAATTATTTTCTTGATCACAACATTGATGCATCCATAGCCTATCACCTAAACAGAAGCCTCTTATCATATATAAGGGCTACAATAATGTTTACTTCGGATTAAAACCGTAATCATTAAAATACATTTAATTAATAAAATATTGGCGCAACATTCTGTCATGATTCAAAATATCAGAAATTAGGTTGCTGTTTATGTTGATGTAGTTAAATGTCATAAGATGGCTCGTGTTGTAGGCTTATACTGGAAGATCGCTTTGCCCAGTAGTAGACGTATCGGCAGCCGGTGTATAGAAGTCCAAGCCAAGTTCATAACTCTATCCGTGTAGACTACTTGAACTCGGTACATACTACTTTCCTAATACTTCCACCTCTCTTTTACACACGAAACGCTGAAACGAACACACACACACACACACCAACCACAACAGATTGCATGGTTTTATTTATTTATCAATGGCCTGCTTTAGTTAAAGCATCCAGGTATAACATAATTTGTTATAAACATTTGTGAGCCTTTATAATGTGTTATAACGAGGCGTATGATATGTTGTGTAGCTCAAGCTAATGCAATGTTCACTTTCTGCTGAAGAAGCTGGTCTCCAGTGTCTGTCTGGGCCTAATGATGTTCAAGCACAAATTCATTGGCAGGTCGCCGCCATGTTGTTTGTCCCCAAGTGAACATTTGTGTGATAATCAGTTCTGTTCCTTCTTTCTCGTTGTTTTTGCTCCATCGTGGGAATGTATTTGAAATAAATCAGTTTACAGATATTATTTACGTTTGTATTCATTGAAGATTTGCGCACAGGCCTCCTGTAGCTCAGTTGGTAGAGCATGGCTCTTGCAACGCCAGGGTTGTGGTTCGATTCCCACGGGGGCCAGTATGAAAAATGTATGCACTCACTAAACTGTAAGTCGCTCTGGATGAGAGCGTCTGCTAAATGACGTAAATGTAAAATGATGAGAGTTTGCGAAAGTAGGCTGTTTGCCTAATCAAGAAGTCATGTGTTCTCAAAACCTAAAAAGACATCGCTCTGCACAGATCCGCTTTGTTGCGCCAATAGTCCGTTTTATTAAGGGCACATTAATGTATAATCAAACGCACCTCATAAATATTTTATGTGATACACATAAAATCATTATGGCTCTCCTCTAGATAAATACAATCAGTATACAAATAATACTTTCTGGTTCAAACTTACAAGACCAACCAAACTAGTGAAAGTGACTAGTTAGAATAAAAGCTAGCAATTCAAAAACAGAGTTGGTGCGGAAATGGTGTATCCTTATTTTACAGCATGTTATTACATTTATTTTACGAGGACTTACAACTAGTAGTCTATAAAATGTTTTACAAGCATTGAGTGTATGATATACCTTATGACGATATCTTGTGAGAGTTTACACTCATAATGTGGTGTGGTATCAATGTTGAGTGGTGGCTGTGAAATAAATGTGTGTATTAGGCTAATCGATACATAAAACAAATAGTCCTGCACCACCCTAAGCCTTATGCACATTTAAAAACCCCGCTAACACAGAATGACTTCAAGTTTGACATTCTTTCTCCTTAACCATTCGGTTTCTTTGGCATTCTTTAAATAAAAATGCAAATTAAACATAGGCCTATACCGTTACAGCGGACTGATTTACTCACTGTGTTTGGTAAATATGATCACGTGATTCATGTAACCAATCCCTGAAGATGAAGCCAGCAAAAATACTATGATTGTTCAGAGGAAAGGTTTCCGTAACAGTGTAACCTTTTATATGACTACGAAGGGATCAAAAAATGTCGACCAGTAGCACTCTGAGTAACTATTATGTGGACTCTATAATGGGGCATGAAGGAGAGGATGTGTACAGGCCACGCTTTGGCCAGTCTACGCAGAGTACGACCTCAATGCCATCAGGCGTTGGGGACAATACTGATTTTTCCTCCTGCAGTTTTGCACCTAAATCAGCCGTTTTCCCAGGGTCTTGGTCCTCGGTTCACCCGCAGTCCGCCGCCGCAGTGTCAGGGATTTACCACCCTTACGTCCAGTCCCACCTCTCCACAGCAGACAGCAGATATGTTCGGTCCTGGATAGACCCAATTTCTAACAACGTTTCTTTCTCCGGCTTTCACTATAACAGCCGGCATTATGGAACCAAGCCCGAAAGTTTACCACTGAAAAGGACTGAGAGTGCCACTTTTGAGACAGAGAATCCGGGGGTTGTCTCTTGCCCTGGTTATGCATGTGGATTGTCCGAATGCCCGGAAAAAGTGGCCAAAGAGAGTGTTGGCAGTGATACTTCAAATCACAGCGAGCCTAAAGAAGAGAAAAAACAACTTGATCCAAGTAAGTAAACGAAATTGCCCCCTGATTTACAACCTTAAGAGCTGTACGAGCTGGGTGTGTAAAACTGGAGGTTTTACTAACCTATAAAAATGTCTAGCTCATACCACCGGACGAAAAAAACTGCCTACGGCTGTAAAGTTGGAACATAACGCAAGCGTGTGATAATATTTGCGTCAACAAATTCAGTATTATTATAATTATAAATATTTGTTTTTTAAACAAATATACAGTTAAAAATTCTGACGCTTGTATTTGCCATGTTCATTGTTTATTTCGTTTTCCTGCTATTTCTCATGTGAGTTTCAACTTTGTCCTCTGTTCTCCAGACAACCCTGCAGCAAACTGGATTCATGCACGTTCAACAAGGAAGAAGCGATGTCCATATACAAAGTATCAGACACTAGAACTAGAAAAAGAATTTCTTTACAACATGTATTTGACACGAGATCGACGATACGAAGTGGCTCGAATTCTGAATTTAACTGAAAGGCAGGTCAAAATCTGGTTCCAGAACAGAAGAATGAAAATGAAAAAGATGAACAGAGAGAGAGGCAGTAAGGATCACTTATAGCTGATGCTAGAGTGGATGTAGTCCCTCGTCTTTTGATGTACCGTATTGTTGTGATTACTTGGAATAAAACGTTCTTTCTTTTTTTAGTTTGAATCAAAGTTAATATTGAGTCTCAAGCGAATTACTTTATTGATTAACCAGAACTAGAGTATTTATGCCCAATATGAACCCATGGGAATATGCTTGCATATCCTTTTCTTCGTCGTGTATTTGAACAACGTAATGTTTTCAGAGGTTACATTTATGCTAATATTTTCAGTGAATATTGTAGGCTTAATTCAGTGAAAGAATCATCACGCAAATTGGAAATTATTTAACTTACTAAAAAGGTAGAGGCTGACTGATTATGTTTGTCAGGCTAGGACTAGAACTTAAAACTAAATGATCATATGTTTTTCAGTATTTAAAATAGTTTCATGGTGTTTTTTCTGAGGTTAGTTTTGAAAAGAGACATTTTAGTCATTTAGCAGACGCTCTTATCCAGAGCGACTTACAGTTAGTGAGTACATACATTTTTAATACTGCCCCCCGTGGGAAACGAACCCACAACCCTGGCGTTGCAAGCACCATGCTCTACCAACTGAGCTGCAGGGGACTATGGAGGAGATTATACAGGAGAAATGATTGGGCGTAGTCTTAATCTTAGCATATTCCTGCATTTTCAGAATCCAATTCGGGCTGTATTTAAGGGCAAAATGTTTCTTACATCTGCTCTGATGGTTTTTTTTTTGTAGTAGTAGGCCCTATATAGGAGTAGTTGTTTTATTTTTATTACATTTTATTTCAATTTGATGTAAATAGTTATTTCTGACGCTCTGAACACCAATTCAACAACATAAAAAGCGTATCCCGCTTGCACTAATGCAGTAATTTGTAGAATGGAGAGGTAAGACTAATAACGCCTTATTGCGAAACTTAATTAGAACCATTTGGTTACTAGGAAAAGTAGGACTAATGAGAAAGTTTATTTCACTTAAATAAATATATTTGGTTAATCTGTATGAGAGATTCAATGATTGGATATTTCGTTGTATTTTTTAAGGTCAGCAGAATTAAACAACTTAAGGTACCACTTGGTATGTTGAGCTCACATTTTAGAATAGTTTTCATAATAGTAATTTGGCTTTCAGTTTGGATTTCACTTCAATAGTGGGAGAATGACGCATTGTTTAAAGAGGTAATAAAGTATTTATGATTGGGAGAGGTGTTGCACTGATTTCCAATGTATTGTCCAACCTGTATGTATAATTGCTTTAAAGCAGGAAGAACCGTAGTCCCATAAAGCCATATAGATTGCTAGACGTTTGGTCTAAATAACTTTACGAGCCAGGGCACCTCTCTCCTTTCAAACCCTTTTACTTGGGTGTTTGAGTCTTTTGCTGAAAAACAAAAATGCAGACACTTTTTCTGCAGGGTGTCTGGTCGATGAATTGTTTGTCTTCGTGACTGAGAGGAAATCAGCCCCCCTAATGTATAGAAAGTCGTGTTTATTCACCAACTGCATTTCCTATAGAGGGGGCAAAAACTTCACTTTGACTGCTGTGTAAAAGGCCGTTTACAGCAGTGGATCTATTGGCACTGCAAGGGTGGATTTAAACCCTGTTTCTGAAATACTTTGAAATATGTCATGTAATTTATTTTCTGTGTAAAAAAAAAAAAAAGCCCTGTGTTTTATGTGAGAAAAGCTAACAGTGTTTATCAATAGGTGTGTTTAATCATCAGAGAATACGGTTGGATTTGAATGTATAATGTATGGTCATTTTTGGTTAGTTTAGTGAAAATAAATTGTAATGATTGAAACAAATAGTAATGTACTAATATTCTCCAAGCATTGATAAAGTATCATACTAGATAGTATTATCGACTGATGAACAGAAACAATTTATTGTATAGGCCAGTAGGAGATCAGTTTGTTTGGAAATCTAGACCGCTAGAGGGCGACGTTGTTCTACAGAAGACTGCATCTCAATAGAGGTCGATGGGTTGACGGTGTAGGGCCCTAAACATGTTTCTGCGACGAGGTTCAATGAATTCATGAAAAATATATTTTGTAAACACTGACGAGGGGCTTTGTTGGATCGCTTTATCGGTAGATGGAACATGTTTACCTATAAGGCCGAATAACACACTGAGGACTATTGTAGCTATTTCAGATTCTGCTAAAATTCTCATTCAGTCTGTTGTTGACCTGTAGATTTCTGTTTTAACTCGTAAATATAATGACTAACAGAGTAATTAGCTTATACCTGTTGATAACAGAAAACAGGGGACAAATATGCTTTTACATTAAAGCAATGGGTGTCATATTTATTATTATTATTACTATAATAAATATTATTATTATTATTATTATTATTATTATTATCACCAATATAATTATTGTGATGGTTATTATTATTATCATTATTATTATTATTATTTTTATTATTATTGTTATTATTATTATTATTATTATGTATATATTGTTTCAGCTAAGCCTAACAGAAATGTCTTTGAAATGTTAGTGAATACAAAAGAGCTTTGTGATCAAAATAAATGGCAAATGTGTCTAGGTGTGCTTGATCAATGTTCAGCAGTCGACTGTTTACCGAAAACTAGGCCAACCATTAGACTGCTGGATGGCAAAACTACCCCTGTCATTAGGCAGAAATTAGTTATTATTTCGAGCCCTTGTACTGTCATTAGTTCTACAAACAGAAAACGCATTTCGTGTAGCTAACAATTCAGCCTTTCCACAATGCTGTCTGCTGCGTGTATAGCAGAACTCTGCTCAAGTCCAAAAATTGTATAATCATGCTATAACGCAGCCCGCAAGTTATCAACCGAATCCTTGTAGAATTACGTGTCATAGGGACTGTTCTAAATTTTACAGATACGATAACTTACAGAGACAGCAGGCCTTTACGACACCGCAAGAGACCGAGCTGCTACAATACCCTGACAATAAATCGTCCGGTGGTAATACTGGCGAACTACCAGAGCTCCTAAATGAATTCCCCGGCTCTTCCACAGACTCTCCTCTGGATGAGACCTCAAGGTTGGTTGGTTTCGAATCACTTACAGGCCCAATTCGTAGGCCTACAGTTTTCAAAATCTACCTATTAGTTTCTGCTGTACAATTGCACCATTCTTTCAGCAGGATGATAATAGCCACTACTGGAATTGAACATTGCATAACGCAGGCCTATCCTCTAACCCCTAGTGAGGAGAAGAAACCGTCGGTAGGCCATGAAGCTAGAGGAGAGAGAATGTCCCTTCAACCCCATATGACCAGGGAGAGAAGGTCAACCCCATATGACCAGGGAGAGAAGGTCCACCCCATATGACCAGGGAGAGAAGGTCCACGCCATATGACCAGGGAGAGAAGGTCCACGCCATATGACCAGGGAGAGAAGGTCAACCCCATATGACCAGGGAGAGAAGGTCCACCCCATATGACCAGGGAGAGAAGATCCACGCCATATGACCAGGGAGAGAAGGTCCACGCCATATGACCAGGGAGAGAAGGTCCACGCCATATGACCAGGGAGAGAAGGTCCACGCCATATGACCAGGGAGAGAAGGTCCACGCCATATGACCAGGGAGAGAAGGTCCACGCCATATGACCAGGGAGAGAATGTTCGATGTGTCAACGCCACAGGATCCAAGCACAGTATCAGGAAAATAAAATGAGTTTACCAATGGTACCCATCACACTGAAACACCACAATAGAATGCAACAGAATACAATCCCCATCTACGCATACATGTCCAGCCGAATCAGGCTGAAACACACACACACACACACACACACACCACACACACACCACACACACACACACACACGCACACCAAAACAAATATTCTAACTCAGTGGCGGCTCCTGAAAAAATTCTCAGGGGGGGCAATTTTTCTGATGATTTAGGTGACCTACACACATTTTAAAAAATATATGTCCAGCAACAACATGAAGACAGGGGCAGCATATAAGTCAATACTGATATACACATTACTTGCTTCAAAAAGTCCTCATGGTTGAATTGGAAATATGTGCACCTGAGCATAATTCACAACAAGCAAGCAGGAGCTTTTGATAGAGGCTACTGAAAACATTGATGCAAGTTATTGGTAATAAGACATTTTTATAGACTTCCATATTCTGCCCTCTTGTATAGATTTGTGAAAATGAACAGTGATAGACATTTTGCCTGAAAACAGAATTTGAAAATAATTTCTAGAAAGGGTAAACACAGCTATCTGTATGGCTTTGTAAAAATGAACAACCATATTCTGGCCAATTGTATAGATTTGTAAATATGATGATGTCTCCTTTCATGCATACATTTTCAAATAAAGCTCTGCTTTGAGAAAGATCGAATGATATTGTTTAATCTTACCTTATGGCCTGCACACTGCTTGTGAAGCTGTCGAGGGCACGTTTGATGAAGACAGCATCGATGTCCTTCTTCTGTAGCTTCTGGTACAGAATGTCGACGTGGGGCATGATTTTGTGAAAAAGCCCCAGGAAAAAAATTAAATCTTCTTGCTATCTATGTACCTCAGCACAAGCACCAGCTGTGTCTGTGTAGAAACGTCCGTGGTCTCGTCAGCTTGGATAGCTACGAAGTTCGCCGACTTCACCTCCTCCACAATATGTTCCCTCATGACCGCTAGCATACACTCCAGTAGCTCGTTTTGAATGGTCTTTGATGTGCCCTTGAAAACTTTAGCATTTTTAAGATGGTCATTAAACACCTCATCTAATTGTGCCACAAAGTTGACAAGTCCAAGAAAAATACCAGGGTTGGTGGAGCCCTCAGTTTCATCTTTGCCTCGCAAAGCTAACTCAAACACTCCACAAAACTTCACACACTGGATTAGCCGGCTGAGGATGTGGCGGTTCTTGCTAACCTCATCGTTGTGGCGGCGGACAGCTAGCCTGTATCCCTCATCCAATTGAGTGGCAATGTTCACTCTCCCCAAAGCAGACAATCTCAAACAGCTATCCATGTGGGTCTTT